CAGCCCCCTCCCCCTAACAAAAACACCATTAGATCTACAATGCCACCTCCTCACATTTCCTGTATTAACATGGGCTGGAGAGGCCTTAAAGCTGTTTCAATTACCTTCCCCAGTTGAAGTCCTTATTGTTATATAAAATCTTTTAAAAGTAAGATACAAAACCTTTAGGTTGTTTTGTGGCTATCTTACAGTATTAACTACTCCCACCCACAACCTAAAGAAAATGCTCTTTTAAGCTGTTAATGTAGATATATTTTTTTAAAAACCTACAACACACATAACACAGTTAAAGCAACTGCTGTCTGTTTAGTCACTGAATACCTACTGTTTTTATTATCCATTCCAGATCTACCACAATTATGTACAGCATCTTCCTTCCTCTTTTATGAGCCATGCAGCCCATTTCACATTTGTAAATCGCCATACTCCAATGACTACCTGATCAATGGCTCAGCATGATACCCAAGCATTTGCTGGAGGAAATACATCTTCCAAAAGCTGGCCACAGTGGGAGCAGTAAATTAATCCAATCAAGGATGGCTTTTTGTGAGCTTGTATTTCCTTGTGTTGTCCTAGCTAGTATAAGCCAACAAAGCTATCAATTCTGAGGTACACAGGAGTCACTGGATGGGCCTATAAGCCAGACAGGGGTTTTATAGCCTTCTTTTTAAAAGACTTCAGTGTCTTCTCTGCAACAGGACAGAGAATATTGGGAAAACCAGTTCACTGATTTTGAAATAAACAAAGGAAAGAAATCTAGTACAACTAGAATCTCTCTAAGTAGTTAAGCATGAAGATTCAAGTAGCTGTCCTTTGGACTGTAAATGTAGGCTCTCTCTCTCTGAAAGGTCCTGGGCATTTCAAGTATTCTGCTGCTGCTATGCAAACCCATCAACATACCCCAAACCTCTTTCTATCCCATATGGTCACAGACATAGGTTAATAACCTGAAATGTGCTTCCGTCAATTAAGTTCCGGTTAGAATCACAGCTACTGCAGATTCAAAAAAGGCACTTTTGGGGGTCTTTATGAAAGCAAGTTCAAAAAGAGTAGCAATGTAGTGTTAGTCTGTTGTGACAAAAGAAAAACCACACACCTCAAGGTGTTTTGCAACACCTTAAAGACTAACGAATGTATTGTGACACAAACCATGCAAACCTATGCACATCTGCTAGAAAGCAATTCCAATTTAAATCATCAGGACTTACTTCCAATTAATGATGCACAGAATTGTACTGTTAATCTCCTTACCTCTGTAAGGCAACAAGTGGCTTCATGCCATTTGTAGTCAGAGAAATCCCACAAAATACAAGAGGATATGTAATATAATAATGTAATGAAGGCATGCACAGCAAGTCCTGAACTTGGGGTGGAAACTCAGTTCATGGGCGCCACTGCCACACTCTGAGCAAACAAAGGAACTGCAGGGAAACCAACCAGGAAGCCACAAGTGCACCCAAGTGAATCATGCGGCACTTCACAACCTATAAAAATGCCCCAGTCAGACTTGCTGTCTCACCTAAGCCACTAGAAGACGCTTGCTGTTGCTCTCTGCCCTTCAAGCAAACATGGTCAGAAGGAAATCAAATAATCTACAGCAGAGAGACATTAGAACCCGAACAAATGCAAAAGAATCAATAGGTTAAAAATAGATGTGACATTGTACATGCCTTTAGCCTTGTGTGGGGGTGTATGGGGTGTTAGGGGAGGGGTAATACCTCTGGTGGGGGACACAATGTGCTCCTGCTGGGGCAGTATGTCCTCCTTGGTCCCCACCCTGCACTCAGCTCTCATCTGTGGCTCCTAGAAGCTGTCAGCATGCGACAGCGGCCACACCCCCATCTAGCTCTTCCTCACATTGACTATTTTTTAAAAAAACCAACCAGCCATGTCAGGGCTAAAAACATGAAAAATGTCACATCTAGTTTGGCCCTTTGAGTGATATACCATTGCTTATATGAGATATGAAATAAATGGCTGTAACACGAGGCATTTCCCAGAAACAGAACAGTTGGAGGGGTGTGTCCCCACAAATATCTTGCTAAAGTTCTGAGACTGCCAGCTATCTTCATACTGTACCTCTTCAGTCTTTGAGCAAACCTCCTCATAGCCTCAACAGGGGCTTCAGTGTCCACCAGAGATAGCATAACATGTCTGAAGCTAGTAGGGCCGGCCATCAGTGTTTCCCCATATCACTGAGCCAGGCATAGATATACGGGCACCTTTGTGGGGTCACAATTGGGAGAGGACCACTCATCATGCTACGTAGTTGTAGGCCAGTGAGCAAGACCTATTACTAGGTTGGTTCATTCCACTGTGTAGTAACTACTTTGTTAGTAGATGTAGGTAGCAAATAGCCTCACAAATTTTGAGCTAGGTGTCAGCAGGTTTAAAGAAAAGATTTAAAGACACAAACCTAACCAATTTCTGCATCCTATTGTTAAAAAAAGAGATTGCTTCTCCTTCTCCCGCCCCAGCCCCACAACACACTTTCCCCTTACTTTGCAGCCAAGGGCTCAAACTCCTGGAAGAGATCAACAATGGCTTGGCTTACATGTTATCAAACTATGGCCTAGTGGGACCGCACAGGGCTCAGGGAGAGGACCCTACAGCCACTCTGCTCATCCTTGGTCTTCAGTTACAGCTTGTGGTTTAAGAAAGCTTAAACATAAGCCCCAGTCTGGATGTGAGCAAAATGGCTTTCCAAGAGCCCATACACCTGTTTCCTCTAAGCCATAGTTTGGCACAAAATGATGTGCAAATCAGGTCAGTTTAATGAAGTAATGAGGGAGGGTACCATCTAAAAGAGGCAAGAAGGGTGAAAGTTAGGCAGAACGAAATCTGTATCTTTAAATTGTGTCCTGACATGGAACTGCAGGACATTTTGCAGAGAACTTTTAACTCAACGTTAGTGGCTACTGTGGGGAAAGAAGTTTTCAGATAGTGAAACAAGAATCACTTTAGCTCTGTTTAGGTGTCCAGCTGTACAAAATATGTAGAGGTCACTAGGCCACCCCCAACACACCTGCCCCACACTCTCCACTCCCAACCATGCCATATTCAGCACAAAAGTCTGAAGGGAGATCCAAAGCATATTCAACTTAACATACTTAAAAACCTCTCCGCAATCAGGAATTCTGATAACACAGGTTATGATCACAAGGAGGCTGCGGTTCAACTCAACCTGCATTCAGTGGCAGGGGTGGATGCTAATGCTGACGGGTGGATGGGTTGAGTTTGCACCCCCATGCATTCAGCTGAATAGAACTTTTCTGAACACACTTTCCTTGTCACTTGATTACACGCATGGGTGTTGCTAAGGGGGGGGGGGAGAAGCTGCCCCCCTGAAATCAAGTAAATCAATAAAAATACTTAACTAACTGAGGCTCTGCCCTCTAATATAAAGCCTGCCCCTCAACATAAATCCTGGGCTGGCTATGCCCATGATGTCACGTGCCATACTGAGACCACAAGGTCAGCAAATGGGAGAGGTGCTGTACTATTGGAGTAACCCAACCAACTGAATTCTTGTGCCTTCAAGAATGACTTCCAATGAAACTCATTGGGGAATTCATCATCTTATTAAACACTCTCTACATTTTTTAGTACCATCTTGAGGGTTTTCTTTTCAACCATGCACTGACACGCTTGCACTGAAACAGTTTCCAGGTGCCCACGTAGACGTGATAAGCTACCAAAAGACAGTCATGCGACTACCTTTAGGCTGCAGTGGTATCTCTGCTGGTTTGCAAGAAAAAAGCCACCCACTTGCACAAGCACTTATTACATATGGACAATCAGGGGTTCACTTCTTGACATGACAGATACAAGCACAGACATTCTGTTTAGCTAGTTCGTTAATTGAACTATCTGTTCTGTATAGAATGTGACCTTCACAGAACTATTGCAAGAATAAATCAATATCTATGTACATCCTTTGGTTTGCCTGGCTGACTGATCCCAGCCCCAGTGAATTCTTTTTACTCTCAGTTGGGCTAGCTTCCCAGTTGCCTTGTTTGTGATGATAATTACCTCCAATCATGAGGGCAATAAAGCAGGATAGATATTTTATTTACTATATTCTGGGTCTCTGCAAGTGTCAACTGTAAGTCATTAATATATTTTCTATTTGAATACAAAATGCTGGAAGGTGAGGAGAGGGAGGTGATGGAACCACGGCCAGCTATGTAGCAAGTGTTTCTACTATGCTTTAAGCAGCCTTTCCCCCTTTATTTTCCAAAGACCTACAAACTTGGTCCTGTGCATTGACTTCAAGAACGTAAAATTTGCCCAACTTTTTATACACGCCTGTAAAACGTCTGCCTACCCTGCAGATTTGGCAACCAAACATTTCCCCTCTTAATTCGAGCAGCAGGATCCTTTGCGTGCCTACTCAGAAGGGAACCCTCGCTGTGTTCAATGGGGCGTGCTCTTAAGTGCGACGCGACTAAGGCCCACTGAGCTGGCAGGACGGTTTCCGCAAGTGAACATGCACGGAAAACAGGGGTGGCAGCATGTCCAGAAAGAAATGTGGGAACGGCGGAACTCACCGCGACGTTACACCCCGCCGACTTGACTTTCAAATGCCCAGTGCGCTTGCGCCGTGGCGGGCAACCGAATCGAAAGACGCATGCGCGCAGCCACCCCGCCAATGTGAGGTAGATACCAGGCCGAACAACCGCGGCCTTTTGTTACTCGCCCGTTGGCCTCCCGGTGACCAGCCACGGCCGCTTTAGTGCGCCCCACGGCACCCCCGGTAAGTAACGCGGCAGAATCTCCCCTCCTTATCTCGTCCTTACCTCGCTTACCCTCAGCCGCCCTCAACTTCACTTACGAGAGCCTTACCGGAATGACGTCGGCGAGGAAGACGTGCGCGCGCCTGGGAGGCTGGCGGCCACGAGCACGCCCTGAATACGTACAGCGTCGCTTGAGGAGGCGGGGGCCTCCTCCTCCTCCCTCCTCTGGCCCTTGGGTGCCATGGCAACAGGAGAAGGACTAGGGAGAGCGCTGAAGCCTCGAAGACAGGCCGCAGTCCCGTCCCCCCCCCCGAAGTTTATGAAATTAAAGGGGAGGGAAATACGGAGATATTATTTGGTGCCAACTTTTTTTTAAAAAAAAAAGTTTGGTGTTTAGCATTGAGATGCAGGTTAAAAAAACACACAAAAAACCCCACCTAGTATTCGAGACCTTAACCCATTTCAGCACCTGCCACTTATGCCCAAGAGGCTGAAACTCAACCAGTAAAGCCTCCCGCTTTGTCAGGATTCCTTGATGGGGGAAAAGCTCGACCAGTTGCATTTGGGTCTGTCACGTCACAGCAAGAGCTCTGCAAGGGGGGGGAAAAGGCAACACTGCCTAGCAAAAGTGATAACGTTTTCCGACCTGCTAATATTTATATATATATATATATATATAGAGAGAGAGAGAGAGAGAGAGAGAGAGAGAGAGTGTGAGTGTACAACGCCTCACTAAATACGGGGGATGGATCATTTGGCCAGATTTTTATTCTTGGTACTGCTGCCCTTCTGAATTTATGTATATATGGGTTTATAATTGTATTTGATTTATATCAATGTTCCTTGCACCTATATCACGTGGTGGTGGGTGCCTTAAAATATTTTAAACAAATCTCCCCAAGACATTTGCACATAGTATGACAGAATGGTGGCAAATTGCACCGTGTTTAGAACAGTGCTCCTTTCCCTCTGTGTAGACAGGACGTCCTGAGAGCAGTGCAAGTTTTTGCATCTCAGCCATGAAAAGGACCACCAAAGATCTGTGCAGGGTTATGTATAAGTGCCCGATCTTTGTATGAACATACCTGAAATCCACATCCACAAGTAAATGGAGCACCCAGAATGGATGTACTCTTAACGAAAAAGGAATGTTGAACCTGTGGTCCTCCAAATGTTGTTGGAGTTCTAAACCCCATCAACCCCAGCCAGCATGGCCAGTGGTCAGGCATAATGGGAGTTGTAGTCTAACAACATCTGGAGGTTTTTCCCCTGTCAAAGTGGATGGGACAGAGAACATATTTGCATAAGCCTTTGTGTAACTTGCCCTTTTCCCTGTGTGAAGAACCAGCTCATATATATAGTGTAAGACTTCTTTCTCTCCATAAATTTACTATTTACTATTCCAACATTCTATTCCAACATTCTGTTTCCAGCACAGTTGCCAATCAAATGTTTGTGGAATCTTAAAAGTAGAGTATGGCCCTGTTTTTTTCCTTTCCAGCACATAATATTTGCAAGTTTGCCTTGCCTTGTTTTAATGGGAGGTTCTGTTTAGATATCATAGTGAAGGCTGCAGTCCTAACCATGTTAACACAGGAGTAAGTCCCATTGGACACAGTTGGATTTATTCTCAGGTAAACATGTATAGAATTGTGCTGTTGTACTAATGTACATGCAGGAGGCAGTAGAGGACAGGAGTGCCAGGTGTGCTCTGGTCCATGGGGTCACGAAGAGTCGGACACAACTAAATGACTAAACAACAACTAGTGTACAGTTCTAACAACATCTACTCAGAAGTAACTCCTGTTGAATTCCACTTAGTCTTTCAGCAAAGGGAAAACACAATGGAAATTCTGCGGCCACCGCTGATAAGAATTGGAGGACGTGTTTACAGGAAAAGACATATTCGAGAACAGCCACACCAGCATGAAGAGGAAGAGGATTTCTATGCAGGTATGCTAAGAATCCACAGAGTTCCATTTCATGAGACTATGATATGAAACTGATCTTGGCATTAGGACTTGAACAGAAGTACTGAATATGGACCATGATTCTCAAGAAAATGCCAACACCCATGCTGTCTGTATGGACTCAGTATAATAAAGAAACAGACACTCAAGATGATAGAGAGTGGGTCTCAAAATTCTTAACCTGTTTGTTTAATACCGGTGAGAGAATGTATGAAATATATGGATTAGAGGACAATATTATACTTAGAGTAATGTAGAGATGTGAGGGTAAGCATCAGGAATACAATTATATGGGGGCTGTAGCTCCGGAATAATATATGGGCTTTGCATATTTATGGTTATATTTTCAGATCATGGTCTCTCCAGTTAACAGAGCTGGATAGCAGGGCTGCCCGTGACTTGCTGCACAAGTCGATGCAGACTAGGGATGGGGAATCTATGGGGCTCCAGATGTTGTTGGACTCCCATCAGCTCCAGCCACCATGGAATGATTGGAGTTGTAATCCAACAGTTTTGAGGGCCACAGATTCCCCATTTGTGGAGCTGGCCATACTAGGCCTGGGGGACTATTGATATGTCATGTTTTATGGTTATTGTTGCTTTTTTTTTGTTCCCTTTGTGAATGATGCCATGGCCTTTGGCTAGTGCAGGGGTCTGCAACCTGCGGCTCCGGAGCCGCATGTGGCTCTTTTACACCTTTGCCGCGGCTCCGGGGCGGATACTAGCGAGGGGAGGAGGCGCATTGTGCGCCCCGACACTCCCCACTGTGGCGGGCGCTGTACTGGCTGTGACGTCGCATGGGGGCGGTGCGTGCGTTACTCACGCACCGTCCCGACGTCACCTTACCGCCCGCCCGCCTGCTACATTGTAAGGGGCATGTACGCTGGTCAGTGCATTGAAAGGGGGCATGTACGCTGGTCACTGTTTTGAAGGGGAGTGAAGAACACACACACACAAAAAGGTAACTTGTTAATTTAACATTTATTTCTATGAGGAGGAGTAATTCTAAGGGGTCAAACAAAGAAATAATAAAAAAAGTTATTTTTATAATGATGAGTTTTGCGGCTCCCAGGTTTTTTCCTTCGGAAACGGGGCCAAGTGGCTCTTTTTGTCTTAAAGGTTGCAGACCCCTGGGCTAGTGCAACAAAGTTTATGGTGATGATATGTCTTCGTACAAGGGGACTTCATCTCTTGCTACTCTGTTATATTCATAGGAAACACAGAGCTCTCTATGCCTGTGATTATTTGTTCCTTTAACTTTGAAAGCAAGAGCTTGCCTCTGCTTTTCTGGAAGTGTATGCAATTAGTCAGACTTTTACCAAAAGGCAATTGTCACCATTGATATCACAGTCTTAACTCACAGTTTGGAGTGGAATTCAGCACACTGCTGAAAAATGCCAACATTAGTAAGTTGTGTTGAATTGCTAAATATTTCACATTCTGTTATGGAGTGGGAGTTAAAGCTCTATTGTCAAGAGGCAACACTTGTTTTTGTGCCGAAGTTTGCTTGCATTTGAAACTACTGTTGTAGTCACTTTAACGGAAGCACCAGATGGGCTTCTGAGGAGTCATCCTGCCCTGAAGGGTGGGTGGGCAGAATAAGAAGCTTAGGCATGAATTCATGAGCAGAAAACATAAGGAGAAGAGAAACAGCAGAAAAGGAAAAAGAAAAGGGGAACAGGGTGGTAAATATCATGCTAGGTCAGAAGAATTGATGCAGTGCACACCTGATCCTTATAATGTGTACAGAATGGATATATTCCCATTCACCTAGGCAACTGAACCAGCTGCTATCATACTTTTTGCAGCACCCACTGCAAAGGAGTGTATGAGGCAGGTAGTGGTAATGAGATTAAATTCCAGACCTAATAGAAAAAATAAAAAGTGACAAATTGCTGGGTCTGGATGGCATTCACCTGAGAGTTCTCAAGGAACTCAAATGTGAAGTTGTAGATCTTCTAACACTGTGAAGCATAGATGCCAACTTTTCCTTTTTTAAGGGAAATTCCCTTATTCTGAATAGAATTCCTCACAAGAAAAGGGAAAAGTTGACAACTATGCTGTGAAGTTGTAGATCTTCTATCCCTTAGACTAGCCTCTACATCTGGAAAGCTGCCAATGTAACACCAATTTTTTTTTAGGAATCTGGTGGGGGAGGGGGATCCTAAAAATTACAAGCCACTGGTGGCAAGTATTGTCAAAGAAAAAATAACTTGGCATATAGAATAATAAGCCTTGCTAAACAGAGACAGAAATCTCACCTTTTAGAGTTCTTTGAGAGTGTCAACAAGCATATAGATTGGTGAGATCCATTTGACATAGTGTTGTTGGACTTTCAAAAAGCTTCCAACAAGGTACAGTGGTGCCTCGCAAGACGAAATTAATCCGTTCCGCGAGTCTCTTCGTCTTGTGGTTTTTTCGTCTTGCGAAGCATGGCTGTTAGCGGCTTAGCGGCTATTAGCGGCTTAGCGGCTATTAACGGCTTAGCGGCTATTAGTGGCTTAGCGGCTTTAAGAAAAAGGAAACAAACTCGCAAGAACTCGCAAGACGTTTCGTCTTGCGAAGCAAGCCCATAGGGAAATTCGTCTTGCGGAACGACTCAAAAAAACGGAAAACCCTTTCGTCTAGCGAGTTTTTCGTCTTGCGAGGCATTCGTCTTGCGGGGCACCACCGTACTTCACTGAAGATTCCTGAATAAGTTTATCAGTTATGGAGTAAGAGGTCCTCTTATAGATAAGGAATTGGTTAAGCAGCAGGAAGCAGAGTGTACATGTGCATGCACAACTATCTGAAATGTCTATGTGTGTATTGCACTATGAGTATGCAGATGTCACTGTGCATCACATTTCAGGCTGTATATTTTGGTTTGCTATAAACAATCAGTTTATACTATATTTGCCTCATTTTTTTCCAGTGGCCTGCATCTTGAACACCCTTTCAGCAAATTACTCGCAGTTATTAGCCTTAGCTATAGTTCGTTCTTTGACAAACCAGTGTTTATCAAATCAGTAACATACTGTAAATTAAATTTAAGGCGCTTTAAAATGCTGCTTCATACAATGAAATTTTATTCCACCTTAACAAATCCAATGATGGTGGGAGTGGGATAACACAGAGGTTTGTGACATCTTTTGAAATTATATTTCTGGTTAGCTGAAAAATAGTTGCAGTGTTTTCTTACTGAGCTAAAAATATCCCATTTTCCAACATATTACAGGCCCTGCTGTTGAGACTAGAAGTCAATATCACTTTGCCTCAATTTTCAGCTTTTGGGTCCTGCATCTGTATCCACTGCTGTTCAGTGTTTTCTTAAATAAGCATTTGTATGAGGCCAAAAATTCAACATCTAGGAGAAAATTTTCTTCCACATCTCGGAGAAAAATAGATTTCCACAGGGCTATTCTGTAGATTATTTTCAATGACAATATAAAAGAAGAAAGAAAGCCCTCCAGTTGACAGCAACAGCTGCTTCCTGATGATGTCAGGAAGACTTAAAAGTTAGCATAATGGGTGGAAGCCATTTTAGTGTGAGTGGACTTCTGCTTGTGTAATTGGATTTAACTTCCTTTCCTCCTCCTGCCAGCCCACTCATAGGCCCCCAGATCTAGAGGATCCCAAAACCTTTGGTTTGTGAGGCGCTACAGGGTGGTGGTCGTCACATTTTGCAAACAGAAGTCTGTTTGTTATTTACCCTTTAGATCAGGCACCCCCAAACTCGGCCCTCCATATGTTTTGGGACTACAACTCCCATCATCCCTAGCTAACATGATCAGTGGTCAGGGATGATGGGAATTGTAGTCCCAAAACATCTGGAGGGCCAAGTTTGGGGGTGCCTGCTTTAGATGAATAGTTTCTAATCACACCATACCTTGCAGGTCCTGAGGATTGTGCAGATGAACCCTGTGATGCCTTTGTGGTGGAAGAGACAGAAAGAGGATACCAATGTGCTGTGGACATTCCCAGCCCACTGTACAAGTAAGTCTGTGTGTGCATATTCAGAATTGCTAATCATGCAGCTAGAGCAACAGAGGGGAAAGTCAGGTGTTCTCAGTCTTTATTATTGATTTTACAATTAGCTTTTGACAACTACTAATGGGAAATTTGGGATAAATTAGTTGCCATAGCCTCACATTGTGGGGACTGTCTCTGCCTCGATCGCCAGGAAACTAGTGCTTGGATTAGCATTTAGGATTCCAAAATGGGTAGGATGTTTAAGCTGTTAAAGTTTGGAACTACTTAATCATTTCTTTTTAAAAAAAATTATCACTGATTCCCTTTTCTGTTTTCCCACTGTATGCTTATATAGATATATAATAGGCAAAAAAGGAGAAACAAAGAAGAAAATAGAAACAGAAACCCGAACCTCTATCATTATTCCTAAGCCTGGAGTTGAAGGAGAAATTGGTGAGTTCTGGGTTTTGTAAAAATTTAAAGGCCTTTAATTTTTATGCACAGGTCTGACATGGTGTGAAATTTAGAGATGATAAAGGCATCCTGGTACTACTTGGAAAATAAATGTAAAAACTGTCATGAAGAATGAAATTAGCTGCCTCTATAATACTGAATTCAGTATAGGAAAGGTAATATGATGTCTTCAGTGCAGAATGTCAAAGTAATTTATGTGACTATGACTGAAGGGTAGCAATTATTACAATCCCGAGATGCCCATGGCATCTCGGCTTGGATCCTGAGATCCCGTGGGCAGGTCCATGCTCAGTGGATTCTGCCCTGATGGAAGAGGAACAGAGGTGATTTTGGCTGATTCTACCTGTAACCCTTGAAAATCTGTTCTGTGGTGTTGACAAATCCACTAGAAGTGTGTAGGAAGTAGCATGGGAGCTGAAGTGGATATAGACAAAAATTGCCTCCCTCTCTTCTGCCATCAGAAACCCCTGCCTAATTAAAGACCCTCCTGCACATAGGAAAGGCTAGGTCCAAGCCACTGAAAGTATCTAGTAGTGAGCATGTCCTTCCATGCTGTGAAATTCCCTAATAAATGCCCACTATATTACACCAATTATTGCCTATCGCAGCTCATTTTTGCTCTCCCCCAGCTGCTTTTGTCCACTTAAGTCTTGGTTGAGGCCACTCATGTATTCTTTTTTGTGTCCAAATAGCTGCTTATCCCCTCACTATCTCCTACACCTTTTCTGGGTATAGGAAAAATTAAGCCACCTTTTAGAACTATGGGCTCTTTACTCTTTTATTCTAGTCCTTGTTTCACTTACTGCCTTCCTGGCATTTGCTGCCTCCTCCATATATTATCTGTCTGCTTATCTGTCTCCTGAGGCTTCTGGGAATAGTCTTTCTGTACTTGCCTTCTCCTTTGCTACACCTCCAGACAATTGCTTTCTTTCCGCATTCCAAGCTCTTTCATGCACACCCAGAACAGGATGCACAAAAATGGGTTTTGAGCATGTTTGTATTAGGTTTGTTTGTATTACTGTTTTGGTGTTGATTTGAAGACTTTCAGTAACTGAATCTTCACTGCAGTTGGCCCACCTACTGTCATTTTGGCTGAAAATAAGGAATGTAGAAGCACAGTGTGAACACATTTTAAAAAGACTGAAGAGGGTCAAATTCTTTAATTCCACTTATGGTATAGCCAAAAAGTAATCTTGTGGATCTAATGTTAAGTCTGTCATTGTTGGTTGCATCCTGTTATTCAAAAGGAGGGAACTACATTTTTCTCTTCATATTTATGCTTTGCATAATTGTGCAGAGTCAGGTACCATGGTTAGCATGACATTTTTTTAAAGAAGCAGACATGATTGAATGCTTGCTATCCATTTATTTATTTCCCTCCCCTTGATTATACTTTCTGCATGTAACATTAGATATTTATTTTCCACACAATACACTTTATTCATAAAGTGTATGGACTGCTTTTACACAAATCATTGCACAGTAATAACAGTAACACACACGAAAATCTCTTTGGCGAAAACGAGTGACAAAACTCTGCAGTGCATCCATAATGTGAACTGAAAACCTCAAATGTTTCCAGAGGAAGTAGAATCAGTTATTATAACAAAGAGACTCAAAAATAGTCTACTTTGATAAGAGAGAAAGTCCTGGCAATATCAATAGGTATACATAAATAAATACAAACCTGTATCAGGAGAAATAAAAATTGTATGAACTAAAGGACAGAAACATTTTAATGGTTAGATGGTTAGATTCTAGCAATACATAAATATTAATATATTAAAACTAGGGAGCTTCATCTCACACTTTGAAAACACTAGTTTGATAGTAACACTGACCCGTGTATTCAGCCGAGATAGCTCTCACCTTGTTAGGAACTGGCTTTCTGGTACAGTGGAAAATCTTGTTATTAATCCTAAACTTTTGTGAGCACATGTAGCAAGCTGTCATAAATCCTGTCTTCTGTTTTGCTTGTTTCCAGTGATCACAGGACAACACCGGAATGGTATTATTTCAGCTCGAACGCGAATTGATGTTCTTGTGGAGAGCTTCCGCAAGAAACAACCCTTCACACACTTTCTGTCATTTGCACTCAACCAACTTGCAATCCAGGAAAAGTTTCTACAGTTCAAAGAGGAGGTGTTGGAGAAGTGCTCAAATGTAAGTTGCCATGATAATACTCATAAATAATCTGAGTTTAAAAAATAAGTAGAGAATGTTGCAAAATGCTACATGAGCTTGTCTAGATTGGGAGACACATTAAAAATATGTCATTAGTAACAACACTATTACCTGAGATGATATACTCAATGTTAGCAATATGGTGGGATAATAAGTATGATGATAAGCCATGAGAGATCATAGAAATACAATTTGTATTTTGTCCCTGGAATTCGCACATTATAAAGATAAAATCCAGGATTTCCCCATTGAAGCTGCCCACATCCTTTAGTGATGAAGAAGTGAAAGATGTTTCCCTTACTAAAGCAAGTATTTCCCCAGCACTGGCACCTTGCTACTTCCAGGACCTCTAAGCTAAGTTCTGTGGCCTGTCTGTGCAGAAGGGGTCAGAAGTGCGTCCAGTTTACACGGAGTCACTTTCAGAAACTGTGTAGTGTTCCTCAAATGTTAGTATTCGTGGAAAAACAGACTTATACTCTATATGTAACTAAATTTTAAGAAAATCCCAAAAAGTTACAGACAAACCAGTCCTTTTATTATCTATTATCTATCTATCTATCTATCTATCTATCTATCTATCTATCTATCTGGAGATCAGTAAGTCTCACAATATATTTATGGCACACTATTTTCATTTCATGTTGAATGGTATTGGCACCTTTCTGGTGAAATTCTGTGTGCAGCCAGATAAAAAACAACTTCAAACTACTGATACTCTATTCTGAGAAAATAATTTGATAGTGCATCAGAATGTGTGACTCCAGTATTTTATGAGGGTTTAATTGGATTCCTTGAAATCTGACAACATAATCCCCTTTTGTCAAAATTCATAGTCTTCACATTTTTAAAACCTAGAATTAAGTCACTGCAAGAGAGACTGGAGTCTGTGAGGTACATTATTTTTTCCACACTTTTCTCTAAACTCTTGTATAAAATACACAGCTGCTAGTTAGTAGGGAAAAAAACATACTGCTTTCGCATATGTCTCTCATTCATTTCATGGTCAGTTATCCCACCCTTATGTCACTTTATCTCACAGTGGGATGTGCCAGAAAGCAATATTTGCAAACCTATGCTTTGTAGCACAATATGGAAGTATATACAGCTGTGCAAAGCAGCGGGGGAGCTTTTAGGATGCTTAGAACCTGAATATGGTGCTAGTTATGGAAGCTGTATGTGTTTGTTCTTGCTGCTTTTTTCAGCTTCAAAATAGAGCAGTCAGTTAATGATGTCTCTATTCAAATGAGGCTGATTAACAGCCATGTTATTTAAAAAATGGAATAATATCAGGTGTTGAGATTAGCATTTCTGCTGGTTGTTGAGCAATGGTACGGAATCTTTCCCTCTCACGATAATAGTTACCATGGCAACCGAACATCCATCATTTATATTGCTGTAGTCTCATGCATCTGTATATGCTGCAGATAACTCTTCCTCTTTTTTGCTTCATTAGAAAATTAAGAGTGTATTAAAATGTGAAAATTAATAAGCATTGTCCATCTAAGCTTTTACACTGAGCAGACAACTTGTACTGAAGATCAAGGAATATTTATATTTATTATAAGTTATTTTTATACAAACCACAGATTTCTTTCTCAGAGGAAAGCTATGGTTGCCTTAACAACATCAGAATAACAGCAATTATAATCAAAATTCATAAAAATATCATCCCAGATAACATGGAAAATAAATCTAACACAAATAAGTTGAAATCAAGATGCCTGCTTGAACAGAAAATATATAGCTTGCCTTCTGAAAGAATAAAAGTTTGAATACAAGTGTACAAGTTTAATTTGCTAAGTTTTCTCATCAAAGCATCACAGCAAAAAAGGACCCTGCCCTTACTGATTTTATTTCTCAAGTAGCTTCTGCTACTTGCAGCTTGTGGGTTTGTCCCTTTGTTAGTGTCAGTATTTTTATATAGCACAATCAGAGTGCCTAACACTTTACAGAACAGATGAGGCAGGTTCCTTCTCTGATGAGCTTACAATATAAAGTTCAGTGGAAGACAGGGCAGGAGAAATAGGGGTGAGCAAGGAGGCAATGTGCGATTGTGTTGGTTTCACATATTTAGGTTAAGTTGCAGGCTGATTTCCATTAGGGCCCTCAAACTGTTAAAGCAGGAAGGATGAAGCATGTTTAAGACAACTAAAAACTAACAGAAGTTGTTGTGAACAATGGAGCATATAATTCTAGTAGCATATAAATCAAAAGCAGTAAATGTAATGATATATGCCCAAATAAAGTCAGAAAGATGGAAAGCGCAATTTGATCAAGGCTTTAATTATTGAGTAAATCAAGTACAGTACAGTGGTACCTCAGGTTACATATGCTTCAGGTTACAGACGCTTCAGGTTACAGACTCTGCTAACCCAGAAATAGTACCTCGGTTTAAGAACTCTGCTTCAGGATGAGAACAGAAATCACACGGCGGCGGCAGCAGGAGGGCCCATTAGCTAAACTGGTATCTCAGGTTAAGAACAGTTTCAGGTTAAGAACAGACCTCCAGAGTGAATGAAGTTCTTAACCCGAGGTACCACTGTACTTGTATTACATCCTCAAATTAAATTTCCAAATTAGAACAAACAAAGCCATGACCAGCTTTAGTCCCTTGAAAAAGACTATTCCATTGATCATATTGCAACAATTGCTTATTGCCTTCTGAAATGTTTCTGAGTAATGACCACCAGGTGGACATACCATAACAAATTGTCATATGTAAACTTCTGTGAAAAGACTGCTTAAAGGTTGGGGAATGAATATTGAAGTTCTGGTGCTCAAAGAAGGCAATAAATCTGATTGGAACAATTGCTGTCCAATTAGCCTGTTAGACAGACAACAGCTCAAGACTCCACCAGTTTCTTTACCAGTAAGTTGCAAGATTGGGCCAATTTAAACAACATAATTTCAAAAGAGCCGGTGGTGTTCAGGAAAGAGAATGGTCAGTGTTTTGTACTAAATCACCCAATTAGCAGATATACTAAATATACAAAAAAACCCATAATTTGTAGCTTTTCATGATGTGCCTCCGCCGCTTGTCAGGATCAACTGAAATAAACTGTTGTTGAAATTATGGAGCAGAAACACAGAGGTTGTTGTTGGCCTTCATTACAAAAATCATACAGATACTGCAAATGCCATATAATCAGATTTGGGGATACATATCACAAATGGTTATTTGATGGGTGTCATCAAATTAGGTCACAGCTTTAATTATTTGGAGGTTGAATTTTCAGAAAGAGGTACCTACAATTAAGTATGGGGTGGGTATGCAGTAGGAAGTGCCTTCTAAATAAGGCACTCTCAGTTCCTCAGTGAAATCTCCCTTGTCTCATATTAGAACCCACATTCTGCCTCCGTTATTTGCTTTTAGGCAAGGGTAACAGGTAAAGAGGAGCAGAGGCAGTTTATGGTAGTGTGACCTATGTAGTGGCACTGGGAACCACAAGGCAGGGAGCGCCACAACAATGCTGTAGAAGCCAGAGGCAGGGGGCACCAAATTTTAGTGTCACACAGGGCACTGCTGAAATCTGAGAACCCAAAGCCTGCTACTGAAGGGGAGTGGTGGAAATGCTTGCCTGTTTAAGTGTTCTATCAAGTACTCACCTTTAAGAGTGTTAAAAATGCCTTGATATCTTCACACGTTATCCTTTCTTTTGTTAAAAGTAAAAGAAAATCTCATCTGTTGAAGTATATATAAGGAAGCTAAGATCTGGGGTTTGATGGTGATAGAAGAACTGGAAATAATCTTGGCCACAATTTTCAAAAGTTCTGTACTTAGTACTCTCCTGATACATTGACAGTATGCATTGGATAGAGACAGGATTTATGCCTGAAGTTTTTGTAATGCCATTTTTTTATGTATTGCTGTAAATTTTGAAATGGATAAAAACACATTACCAAGAAAATATTTCCTGGGGGGAAAAGAATAAATCTGGAAATAGCTGTAGATCGAAGTACAAACCTAAAATGCAGATAATTTAATATTGGTTCCCAGAATCTAAGCAAATGGAGCCCAGACCAGGGCAAATAAAATAAAAAAATTAAATAGGCAGAAGGCTCATTTATCTAATCAAGCCATAGATTCTATGTAACACTGCCCCCTGGTTTATTTAGCATTATGTGAATGGTCAGAAGTGAGTGTTGGGCTTGTGACCTACTCCACCCCTCTTTCGTCGGTGCAGTTGTGAGGAAGAGCTTAGTGGTATCCACTTACTGGTTTAAACTAATAAGAGTCTTTCATTTTATCTGAAATGGGAACTCTAGTTAGTTTAAACTGTGGTTCGATGAAATGAGCCATCATCACAAACTGGTTTGAAAGTGTCTTGCTGCAATGAATAAACCATAGTTTACACTCACAGCAGTTAGTAATTTTGGGCCATAACAACAAACTGTGGTTATTTTAAATTAGGAATCAGATGTTTCCAATCTTCTTGCTGCCTTTGGAGAAATCACCTTTTCAAATGAGTTTACTGAGACAGGGTTTCCTTTATATACAATAGATGAGCTTACTGTGCACATGGGGTTAGGTTTGAAATACAGTGGTACCTCTGGTTAAGAACTTAATTCGTTCTGGAGGTCCGTTCTTAACCTGAAACTGTTCTTAACCTGAGGTACCACTTTAGCTAATGGGGCCTCCCGCTGCCGCCGGGCGATTTCTGTTCTCATCCTGAGGTAAAGTTCTTAACCCGAAGTACTACTTCTGGGTTAGCGGAGTCTGTAACCTGAAGCGTTTGTAACCCGAAGCGTTTGTAACCTGAGGTACCACTGTACTAAGTACAGTTTCTGGTAGATGGCATCTGACAGTTACTAAATTGCATGAGACTGCCATAAGTGAAAGTAGGTCCTGTTATAGATTGTTAACAGATTGTAAAAATGGCACTTCCGGCTGGCTGGGTGGAAGTTCTTGGTCGCTTGTTGGATGGAAAAGGTGGTCTTCCTGGCATCTCTCCCTAAACCTCTTTCAAGGGCTTATGGGC